GTGTGTGTGTGTGTGTGTGTGTGTGTGTGTGTGTGTGTGTGGGTGTGTGTTTCTGTGCGGTTTCGGTCTCTCTCTCTCTCTCTCTCTCTTCTTTGATGCAGCCAAGCTTCTGTAGATGACCATTCCCTAGAAATAAGGGCAGATCACAATTTGGTTCATTTAATAGATTCGAATACCAACTGGATCCAAAGAAAGTTTTAAATCCTGGGTATAAAGGGTCACTACTCTACTAGGAATTAAATTCTGGTTTTCATACAATTAGTGAAGATATTATTTAAAAACACAAAAGTGTCTTCTAGCAATGGAGGGAAAACATTGGAACAAGTCTAATAAACTCAGTCTGAATTTTATTATATTTAGGTTATTATGAATCCTATATTTTCTAAGCAGGGGGAGCTTTCAAGTGTTATTTTAAATTGTATACAAAAATGTATATTATGTATTTGACATTATTGGGGGGGGGATTGGTGCTTTTTTATTCAGATATTTTCTTGTCAACATTCAACACTGTATTTTTTTTTCCCACTGATTATAACTAATAATTCTCTCTATAGCCTTCTTTGAGAATTAGTCTCTTGTGATGCCAACTATTTTTACTGAAGTCAAATGCTTCCCAAAGGGAGAGTTTTGTTTGGTATGGTATAAGAGATAAACAAGGAATAGATTTGTACCAAGTAATTTTACATTCATGCAAAACAAAAATACTGTACAATTTATTTCCTGGATTATAGGTAATTTCAGTTAATAAATTTACTATGATATATACTGTATATGTACCACATTGTGTTGTTCCTACTCCTCACAAAAATTGTTTTTTTATTATTAGCTATAAATCACTTATTATTTTAAAATGCTTTACCAAGAATTTTTAATTTCTGAAAAGTACCTTAAATCTTTCATATAAGTATGATTTAAAGTGGTTATGCTCAGATGAAGTAAATATAAATCTTGTAAAATGATTAAATACTAAAAATAGATATTAAAAGCTAACATTGATAGTAATACCTGGCAAGACAGATAAATTTATTTGCCAGGATGAAATAAAGATTGTGGAGACAAAGGAGAACAGGCAACATTGGCTTATTCTATGAGCACACTATGCCAAAACAAAGAGCATTTCATTTAATTAGTCTACTAATTGAATTTTTTTTTGGGGGGGAGGCAGGAAGTTATTCAATGAGAAAACCAGAATCTTTTTTGTTGTTTGTATCCTACATCCTGAAATTTATTTATTTTATTTATTTAATATATTCCTACTAATTTGTATGAAACTTTATATATTTGTTTGAAATAATTTCAATGTTGCATAAGAAATTGCATTCATCTTTGAAATCATTTAAAATACCTTTTAATTTCTAACCAAATTCCTTTACTGTGAAATAGATTTCTGCTTAATGATAGCATACTGTTTATATATTGTTTACCAAACTTTATTTCTCATGTGTTATCAGGCAATCAGTAAGAAATTGTCAGTCAAATGTATCATGTGCCATTCTGAAAGGAAAGTTTCAATTAAATTTTATAGATCAATTTTTTTTAAAAAAACTGAACAAATCTTTGACAGATACTTCTAGAAATATAAATATTACTTAGGAATCTCATTATTCAACTATTTCAGGAATCAACATTAGCTTATAAGGAACATAATGCGGAGAAATCAGACTGAAATCACAGAATTTATTCTTCTTGGATTTGGAGAAGTTTATCATCTGCAGATCTTCTTGTTTCTATTTTTTCTGGTAATATATATCATGACCATGACTGCCAATATTATTGTTATTCTTCTTATTGTGAATGATAAACGTCTACATACCCCAATGTATTTCTTTTTGGGAAATTTGTCCTGCTTGGAGACTTTCTATAGCTCAACCATCCTGCCCAGAATTCTAGCTAGTCTTCTGACAGGAAACAAGAAAATATCTGTTTCAGGTTGTATTACTCAGCTATATTTCTTTGCATTCCTGATTAGTACAGAATGCTACCTGCTTTCTGTGATGTCATTTGACAGATATTTAGCTATCTGCAAGCCTCTCCAATATGCAACAATTATGAATATGAGACTTTGTGTTCAATTAGTCTTTGCCTCTTGTTTGAATAGCATGGTATTTACCTCTATATTTTTAGGCATTGTCTTAAAAATACAATTCTGTGGTCCACATGAAATTGATCACTTCTATTGTGATTCTCTACCACTTGTAAAACTTTCTTGCAATCACATCAACCTTGTGAAAAATGTCACAATGATAGTTTCATTCATCTTTACTTTTCCTCCTTTTCTTTTGACACTGACATCTTATGCATATATTATTATTACTATCCAGAAAATTTCAACCTCTACTGGGAGACAAAGGACTTTTGCTACCTGTTCTTCTCATCTGATTGTTGTCTCTATTTTCTATGGAGCATTAATAATTGTATATCTAATACCCAAAACTGAAACCATAAATCTCAATAAACTAGCTTCTGTCCTTTACACAGTTCTTCCACCCATAGCTAACCCCCTCATATATAGCCTGAGAAACAAAGATGTCAAAGAAGCCATGAAAAAGGTGGTGACAAATATTTTGAAAATCCATTTGTAAATTGGAGACTGAAGCCTAAGTAGATTATTTCCTTTTATGGATAAATGAACAGAAAATAAATAAATGATTTTATGTATTTACTATTATGATTTGCTACTTTTTCTATTATTATATGAATAATAATAAAAATGAGACTGCACAAAATACTTTCCCTCTCAAAATTGTCTTGGTAGGAAGCATTGTACAATCTTTCTCAGCTTAGAGCTGTATGTGGGTTTTGAATGACATGCTAAATTGCAAAAATAAGAAGACAATGTTAAAACAGGGAAAGACTATGGAAAAAGTGGTTTTAGTAAATTTGGTTTTAGTAAATATATTTATTAGTTAAGTTAAATTATATTAATTTTTCAAAGTAAATTAAACATAGCCAATTATTTCCTGAATATTTAATTGTACTTTAATTCTATTTTATTAAATATTATGTTTCAGTAAAGTAGGGGTAAAGTTCACATTGATTTTTCAACAGTCTGAAATTCTCAAGTCTTTCCTCTCCCACTTGTCGCTATTCCTTTTATGATTTGCTTTGATTATTTTATGGCTAGGGTGATAATATTGATAATTTATATGGTCCTTTTGATATCTTTTATTACAGAAGCGTCTATCAATGTTTTTGATAAAATATGTAGAAATGCATATGGCATTTAAAAATTGTAATAAAGCTGTAATTGAAACATTTTTGAATAAACTTTACTGAAATACATAAAATTTCAAGAAAAATATATATGGACATTTGTAAAACAAATTACAAGTTACAATTTTAATTGCAAATTGATGTAAATAAATGTAATAAATGTGAAATGTAGAAAATCTTTCCACTGCAATTTGTGCAAAATTTATTAATTTGAACAATTATGTCTAAGTAGCTCTCTTACTATCCAAGCTGCATTGGTTACAAGTAGACTTCCAAATGCCATTGAAGTTGCGTAGGGCCTAGTTATATAAGGAACTACTTATCTTTCAATGGCTTTTGTTCATTTGCTATATAATTATTTTAAAATGTTTAGGTTTCCATTGATTGAACTGTTTCTTCAAGCATGACTCAGGAATTATCCTTTTTCTGCCACAGCACTTGACTCCAGAACAAAGATTCAAACTATCCAGGGCTTATTTAATTTAATATTCCAAAGGAAGTTATGTTGTATAGCACGGGTGTAAAACTTGCCACATCATATTGTCATGAATGATGATTCATGATGTTTTTCCTCTTTGTGGGCTGGGGTGGTTGTGACCTGTGCATGATGCATCTGGCCCATGGACCACCAGTTTGACATCCCTGAAGATAATGATTCTCTTATACCCTAAATTGTGAGATTACTAGGAGTTACATTTGGCGCATACTGTACAATTCTAGGTTCCCAGTGGCCTTCAAAGGTAGTCCCATAGAAAATTTCAAGGAAAATATATAAAGCATATTGGAATAGCCTATGTAGGTGTTAATAAGGTAAATTACTGTTGCACAGAATTTATATTCTAAGTAGGGTTACAACCAGCACACCAGCTGAAGCTAAACCTCATGGATATGACCTCCACATTTGTATCTAGCAATATCCATTAATAAAATACTATGCCAAAAACACAGATTTGTTCTCTTAGGAAGTTTTCCATAAAAACTACGTAATGATAGTCATAGGGTACAAATAAGCAATCAGGAAACAATCAATATCAATATAAATTGTAAGGATACAAACAACAAAGTTATAGTCCTATGGTCATAATGGGAGGAGATGGGTGATAGGAATGATAAGAAGATTAATAGTAATGCAGCATTAGTGAATAGTTTGACAGTGGTGAGGGAATTATTTGTTTAACAGAGTCAAGGTGTTCTGGAAAAAAACTGTTCTTGTGTCTAGTTGTCTTGGTGGGCTGTGCTCTATAGCATTGTTTCGAGGATAGGAGTTGAAACAATTTATGCCCAGGATGTGAGGTATCTGTAAATATTTTCTTCTTTTTGACTAGTGCAGTATACAAGTCCTCAATGGAAGGCAGGTTGGCAGTAATTGTTTTTTCTGCAGTTCTAGAAAGTCTAGAAACATGTAACTAGAAAGTGTTCTAGTTAAATGTTTCCCTCTCCATTCAGTACTACCCCCTGAAAATGATCAAAATTGACTTTATCCAGGGACAGTCTTGAAAATACAGGGCATATACCAACTTCCTGCTCTCAGAAGATTCTCTTCTTCAATGAATCATTGACCAGTTCCAATGGTCAATATACTAGAGCATATTTCCTTTATCTTATCAGAGTCCACATATCTGTATTCTCACTTTAAAATGAAAGCAATTGCTTTAGGCATCAAATTTGAAGTTTTCCATGAAGAGTTAAGAATCAATTTCTGTAGTATATTGATTATACAACACAAGAAAAGATTAGTAAAGGACTGCAGCCTCCTTATAAGAAAGCCTCCTCAGGAGAGCAGGATCATTTGCAATATGTGAAAATAAATATACTCTAACTAAAGTAAGAGAATGAGGATGTTGTGTTAGAGAAAATTAAAGACTACTAAGCTATTAAACTACTACTATCAAGCCTATGCAAATCAACTGTGCCATTCTTCTGAGTTGCCTGGAATTGAAAACATTGTACTGCCCAGACAAAGGCACTACTTAAGTACCTTAATTTTCACAAATAAGATACTATCATAATTTTTGGAATATAAGACACACTTTTTCCCCTGAAAATGGCTGAAAATTTGGGTGCGCCTTATACTCTGAATGTAGCTTTTTGGAAACTTTTTTTCAGCCCTAATGAGGTTCTAACGAGTGAAGCAATCATCCATGCTTTGCCTGCATTTCACTCATTAGCATCTTATTAGAGCTGAAAAAAAAGCTTCGAATATTTTTACTGCAGCATACTGTTGGGAAAATTTTCCTGGTTCATTCCAGCTGCGAGAAACCGATGAAAAAAGATTTGAAGACTGCCTTAAGAGAGACTTCTTTTGTCCAGTTTCTATTTTTGGGAGATAATCCTCTCAAGGGCAAAGCAGAGAGTTCCTGTAACTATGTGATTTCTATTCTTTTGGGGATAATCCCTTTCAGGGCAAGGCAGGGACTTTTTCCCCTATCGGTGTTTTTTCAATAGTTTTCTTCAGGCAAGCACTTGACTGGTTTGTTGATTCAGCTTTGTTACATTTTTATGAAGTGTGAAGTGCTTTTGGATGGATGCCCAGACATCTAGTTAAGCTTATTAAGAACTTCCCCAGCTGCCTGGGGAAGGAAAATGTGACAAAAAGTGTAATTTTATTATACTGTTGTGTTTGTTTGCTTTTCTGATGTAATGGAAATAAAAATGAATACCTGGTAGGCAGATTTTTCCCCTCTTTTCCTCCCCCCAAACTCTGGTGTGTCTTATACTCTGAAAAATATGTACTTAAATATCCACAGCTGTAAAAATTAGTAAGAATAATTTGTCAGAATAATCTGTCAGATTAGTTTACTTCCTTGGCTAGATATTTTATTTTACTTTTATTATTTTCAAACTCAGAGTTTGAAGGGATTGAAGACAATAACCTTCAACCTTTGGAGACCAGTGTTTTCTTTCTCTTACTTACTAGTCTGTCCCCAGTCCTCTGTCTTGCAGGAAGCTATGCTATAAAAGTAGATATTGCAAGATTCCTGAACTGCAATTTCATTTGGGTGAGGAAATGAGTTAATCATGACAAATATTTCATTCAACAATAGCTTTGAGGCAACCATGAACTCCATTTATATTTTTGCCTTCTGAACAATGGTATTAGATCTTAGTTACATAAAATTAGAAAACACTAAGTAATTCAGAGTAGTGATACATCTACTCTGGCATCCTATTTTGTACCAAGAACTTTATAGAAATCCTATATGTAGAATAGTAAATCTCTATTATTGTTTCCAATCAATAATCTAAAAACAGAATAGGTTAATAACAAAATGACATATTGAGTGAGGATTTTGGCAATTACCACATTCTAACATGTTACTTGAAATATAATTTGAATTTCAACAGAGTTGAACATTCCCACTTCAGTCATTATTCAAAATCTCCTGATACTTTTTTTACTAATGCCCAAGGGGATTTTTAAAAAAAACAAAAACAAAAACCTCTGATATAAGCTAAGGAGAACAGAACAGAAGATCAATTATTGTTGGATGAATAAGATGTAGTAAGTCATTGTATTCTAATATGTATATCTATATATTTGTATCGCATAATACTTTTAATTTAGCTTTCTGAATTATGATTTTCATTTAGCTTTGAAACCTATGGTCTATGTTATAATGTTGATTCCGACTTGATTCATACACCTAAGTAAATTAGTGAGATGTATTATTTATTTGTTTAGTTGTCCTTAGATTTCTTTCTTATGGAGGAGTGGATTGTAGTCAGCAATTCAAGGATCTTGAAGTTAATTCTGCTTACTTTATCTCTAACTTAATCAAAGAATATTTAGTATTGGAAAAAGAGAAAGAATACTCAGTATTGTAAAAAGAGAAATGCATCTTTTATGTTGTTTAAGATATTTATTGACATGTGTCAATAAATCTACTTTACTTTTACTTTATAAATGTAAATTTAAAATGTAAATTTATAAATTTACTTACATTTACTTCACCACCAAACATAACCCACAACCATCCATTTTTGAATTTGGGAATCTTATCATTCTTTCATTGAACATTTGCTGTTTTGTATGTAGATATTTTATACTCCTTATATCTTGCCCATTGATATAATACAATTACAGCTATTTTATAGCATTTTTCTAGGTTAGAGTATTTTCATTGCTTACATTTGCACAAAATGTATTTGGCACAAAATGTATGTAAATACATCTCTTTTCCTGCTATCTCTATCTCTTTCATATCCATTAGAATTTTTCAATATAGTAAAAAAGCATTCAAAAAACTAAAAAGATAAAAAGAAAGTACATTTTTAAAAAGAACATCAATTTTAACTGAAATTATCATCTTAATTTTTTTCACATAATTTACATTTTCAGTATAAGCAATAACTACACTTTCTATCCTCT